CACCATCATTTTTAATAGTGTTTCAAACCTCATGCGATTCTGTTCGATTCTATTCGATTCCAATTTTCGGAACCATATATATTACATTTTTTTTTCTAATGTTATGTTTTTAAAAATATATTAATTTTATATATAACAACTTATTAAAATAAGATAACAAATATTTGGAATAGGTTTTATTTACTTTACTATTAATATTATAATACAACTATGATTCTGAAAATTGGAATTGAACAGAATTACAGGGAATTGCATAAGGTTTAAAATACTATTAAAAATAATGATAGGGTATATCCTATCTATTAAATTTAATATAAACTTGAGAATCAAATACAGAATCAAAGAGAATCATTAGGATCTTTAAATATAACTATATCATATAATCAAATCCAATAAGTTACATATAACTTGTAGGATATTAATATTTGATTAGAATAACAAACTATATTAAAGAATTATATCTATAATATTTCACTACTTTTTTTTTATATTTCTACTCAATTTCTTCACAATGCTGGTGATCTTGTCCCAAATATTTTTTTTAAATTTTTATTTTTTACAACAGATAGTTTTTTAGGTTTTCCTGCTTAAGAATTTTTTAAATAATATATTTATTTAATAGGTAATAGACTAATATCTATAATGATATAAATTATATTTTAATATTAATTATGTAACAAGGTAAACTTATACTTTATTAATAAAGATAATAAGTTAATGTCTCACTTTAACATTAAAAAAAAAAGATAATTAAAAATATCTAAAATTTATAAAAATTAATATTTAAAATTTTATTAAACTTTTTTAAAAACATTAAAATTTTAATATGTAGGCAACTTTACTTGTATTACAATTTAAGGGATATGACTTTTAAAAAAAAAAACTTATATAATTTTTTAAAAAACATCATTGGCTTCTAATAATTATTATGACTGAGAAACATATTTTATCAAAATCTATTAAGTAAAAAAGTAAAGTACAGTTATTAATGCAATTCCTATTAAGTTGTAAGATTTCCAGTAAAGACATTTACTTATCTAAGTGAATTATGGTATATAATAAAAAGGTTCTTCCTCTATATTCTTTGGTGGAAATTGTGACAATTTAATTAAATAAAAATTAGCTTCTAAAAATAAACACCCAAAATACTTATTTATATTGTAGTTTTTAAACCTTCAATCCTGGTACGGTAATATTTTCAATATTCTTTAGAACACGATTTATAAATTATTCTAAAGCTTCAACGAAACTCAACCGTATTAACTTCGACATAACCCGAAAGCTATATATTATTACATTATGGTAATTTCACTTGAAAACAGTGTACAGTATACTGCACAATGCTGTACAATTGCAGTAGGTAAACACCCATGTTATTTTAAATAGTACAGTAATAAGTAAATCTCTGCTAGTTCTACGGAAATTTTAGAGCACGTGATAACTGCAATGTAGATGTGTTACACATCTATATAATGAGAATCTACTCATATCCGTTTGTCACTCAAAGTACTGTAGTATGAAAAAGAGAAAATTGTTAAAAAGTCTATCTCAAGATCTTATTAAGCTTCTTGAAACGAATGATGAATACAATGCTATCATAGAAGCAGGAGAAGGACCTGCCATGCAATCATTCAAAGTTCACAGTGTTATCTTATGCCATCGTTGCCCCATACTTTACGATGAAATAAAAAAGGTTAACCATAATGAAAATAATATTCGAGTCATTACAAAGACTCGAATTTCGGCAACTGTCTTTGCAGTCATTATAAAGTAAGCAAAATTCGTTTTTAACTTTATATTGTACACTCATTGATTTTTACGTTTTTTTAAACAGTTACATCTATAGTGGAGACTTCAACTTGGAAAACATCAAAACATCTACCATTTTTGACATTTTAATTACCGCCGAGAAATATGAGCTTACTGGATTGTTACAATACCTCGAAGCATATATGCTTAAAAGTAAAATCGCATGGTTAGAATCAAATTCATTCAGAGTATATCAAATTTCCACACAGTCAACTAGCCTCTCAAATCTACAAAGGTTTTGCAATAAACTTATTTCAACAAGACCCAGAGTTCTTTTTGAATCTAACAATTTTGCATCCATACCTGAATCTATTTTAGTACCTCTTATTCAGAGGGAAGATTTAAACTTAGAGGAAGCAAAAATTTGGGACTATGTTATTAAATGGGGATTGCTTCAAAACACAACATTGCCTCCAGAAATTAAACAATGGACTAATGAGGATTTTCAAATTTTGAAGAATACTTTACAGGGATGTTTACCTCACATTCGATATTTTCATATTTCTGGAGAAGATGTTTTCAAGAAAGTGCGACCATATAAGCAGATTTTGAAACAAGGCACTTGGAATGATATGGTGCAAAAATTACTGATTCCTAATGAACCGGTTGGATCTTTGATCATGCCACCTAGAAAGAATCGAGCAACTAATTCTCATAGAAAAATATTACTGGACGAACTTAACATGCCGAATAATCAGGAATCAAACATGAATAACAATTTATCTAACGCAAATTCATTCCAAGTAAACAAACCCGAGATCAGTCCTAATTTGGAAATTTTTTCAACCCTTATGACATATAAACATGCAGCTGAAATTACTTCTTGGATTGATTACCGTTCAAGACCGTATGATATTGATAAAATCCCATACGAATTTCGTCTACTTATTCGTGGAAGTCAGTCTGGATTCGACCATAAAATGTTTTGGAGTAAATGCGGTGGACATGACCATACAGTGTTAGTGATGAGAATTCAAGGAACTAACGAAATTATCGGAGGGTATAATCCACTTGAATGGTCGTTGAAACAAAGTGGATATGTGAAAACTGAAAATAGTTTTATTTTTTCGCTTGAAAATGGTAGCCAGAAATCTATAGTCAGCCGAGTAAGAAAAAACAAGGCTAATGAGGCCATCTTTAACTGTGGTTCACATGGTCCGGAATTTGGTGCACAAGATATTTATATGGGAGAAACCTTCAACAGTGTAAAAAAAAAAGATCAGTGTTGGTATAGATTTAAAAATTACGAAGTGAAAATTAGAGATACAATAGGAGAATTTTCAATCGACGAATATGAAGTATTTCAAGTTATTGAAAACTTCGTCATATATCCATTAATTTAAAGTTGGTCTGTGTAGGGAATTTATGCGACACTGTATTTTTCATCACCTCGAAAAAGTATTAAATATTTGTAAAGGACTATTTTGTATAATGTTGAACAATTATTTTTCAGACAATCCTTACATACAGTATTTTCAGTATGAATTAGTATGCAATAAATAATTAAAAAATGAGAAAAAATATTTTTTATGATTGGGGGAAGGAATATATTAACGTGACATTTCATCCAATGGTTTTTCATTTTCCGTGCGCAGTCTGATCAAGCGTTCGGATTATCGTCACGCGAAGAGTGAGCCGCTTTAGCGACAGACGGCAACACTATAAATAACTATTCATATTAAAGCTTGTAATACTAATTCAAATGGAATTATCAGGAAAAATACGTTGTTTGATAATCAAAAGACGTGATTTTACCTGATAATTCCATTTGAATCATAATTCAAAAGTCCAAGTGAAATCCAATATTAGTGTATTGTATTTTATTATTGTACACACAGTAAATACTGTATTTTAAATATAATAATCCATTAATTATATTTAAAGAAAACAAATCAATGTTCATACACAATATTGGTTAGTTGTTTTATTTTTATAATTGATTTTATCATTAGGCTGGATATTTATTATAAATTTATCAATTATACAAAATTTTATATAGTATAATATCCATATTATACATTATATGCAATAGAATTGAATTTAGTTATTGTCGTGGGTAAAAAAGTAGGCGCAGTAACGTGACACGCCATCGCGTCACGAAAAGTAGTGTAGAATAGCGATCAGATGCAAACATGTAAATAACAGGCGCATGTATAAATACATGCGCAATTCAGTAGCATGTAGAGTAGCGAGAAGTTTAGCTTAGTAACGCATTAAGAAATAAACGATAAAGCAACGTCTGACGAATAAACTCTTGCCTTGTGTTTAGTGTGCCACCGTAGACTTGTAACTTGGGCTACGTGAATACAAGAGAGAACCGAGTTTTGCCAAGGGAATTGGCATTGGAAGGGTTCTAGGTTAGTTGGTAGAGAAGTTAAAGTGAGTTAGAAACTTACCTTATTGTGAACCTAAAAAAGCGAGAAGTAGTGTGGCAGCCCATGACGTTGTTCTTTAAAAATCATATTAAAATAATGTTACTAAGTAACATGTAAAAACAATCAATTAAACCTTTTATAGCGATTTAACCATATATAATATTTTGATATTTTATTATTTTTAATAATTTCTTTATTCTTTATTATACAGTGTAGGACAAAAAAACTTGTTTTTTTAATACTTTTATATTTTTTATGATATTTTGATAACTAAATAGAAAAATAAAATAAAATTTTATATTTATACAGTATATTTGAGAATATAAAGAATAATTTTACTTAAAATAATTTTTAAATTTTGTTTATAAATTTTCAAAAAAAAGAATTTTTTTTAAAGTCATTTTAAATATATTATAAAAAATTATTAAATTATTTTAATATATAAATTTGTTAATCAAAAATTAATAAATATAAAACTAATTTTTATAAATTTTTGTAAACTTAAAATTTTATTATAAAGTATTATATTTTAAAATTTAATAAAATTTAATAAAATTTATATAAAAACTATAATAAAACTAGTTTTTTTAAAAAAAAATTTACAAAAAATAAATATACATAAAATTTTAATAAACCAATTTATATACAATAAAAAAAAACATTTTATAATTTTTTATAAACTAAATAATTCTTTTTTAAATTTTATAATATATAATTTATTTTTAAATTCTATAGTAATTTTTTTAAAAAATTATTATAATATTTTCTATCTATAATTCATATTTAATATTAGTTAAAAAATTTTTTTCAAAATTTTTTTATAACTTTTAACCAATAAGTTAAACTATAATTATAAATTTAATACTAAAAAAGCTTTAATATTATATTATTTAGATTTTTAAAAAAATATATTTGAAGTTTTATATTATTTGAATTATTATTTATTAAATAATAATAATAATAATAATAAGTTTTTTTGTTATTTCTGATCGCATCCGTTTTGTTAAAAATTTTCCTTTTATAGTAATTTTAAGCAAGAAAAATGTTTAATACTCTTTACCACAAGTGAGCTCCAGCTCAAAAACTCAAGAACCTTCAAGACAACTGGTGCAGTGGGATGGGACCTCTGGTCGAAGTCTACTCAAGTTTG